AAAGGGAGTTAACTAAGGACCTACCAAAAATATATTGCCCTATATGGCATCCAGCAGATGGTACGATTATTTCGTCTTACAAGATACCTACAACGGTGCTGTTAAATAAAGACCGAGAATTCGTGGCCTTTGGATTCGATGCAGAGGAGCAGTATGCAAAACTAGCTGACGAAAATGAACATGTTGATTATTACTATTTCCAAAAATTTAAAAAGTTGCTTTATGAGAAGATCAGAACAACGAAGGTATTGGGCTGAGTATTTTTGAAATTAATTTCTTAAAAAAGACATATATATATATATATATATATATATATATATATATATATATATATATATTTAAGGAATCACTGTCTAGTTTTGAGAGTATGCCAGGGCATCAACAATAGTGGGAAACATGGAATAATTTGCATAACGGGCGAAGCCCATTATGCTAAAATTATCCCATGTTTCCCACTATTGTTGATGTCCCCGGGCATACTATACTAATTACACAGTGTTTCCTTATATTTCCATTTCATTGTGAAATGAAATTGTAGACTTAGACATTAAGAATGTAGACTAATCGATTTAAATTCCACGAGGACTTCCATGCCAATTTCAATAGTCATCGCACACACTGACATCAAACACAAAGGCAGATGCACGAGATTTACATGCATATTTGGCCTCCTTAGCATCAGACACAGAGACAGATGCGCACGAGATTTGCATGCGTATTAGGCCTCCTTAGCTGCTAACCTATCGACCTGCCTAATTTACATTCCGGCAGAATTATCAGGAAATCAACTTCGCTTACTTTCAAAGGGATATTATGGAGAAAAAATTTAGAAATGGATATATATATATATATATATATATATATATATATATATATATATATATATATATATATATATATATATATATAGGACATGTATATAATTTTAATACTATAAATAATAATATATTGAACTATGAAATGTGTCTACCAAAAATGTTCCAGACAAAGGTTTAGTTACCACAGGTGCTTGGGGACGGGGAACATTCATACCCGCTGATACTAAAACAGAACGTTTTTAGTATCAGAGGGTATGAAATTATAAAAGGCTTAAACTAGCCTTCTTTCTCCTTAAATTTGGTATTTTTCGGTTGTAATACTTTATGAATATATCATAGAAAAATATTTTTTTAAGTAAAAAAAAAAAAAAACGCTGGGGTACGGAACAACCGAGGGGGGGGGTGTCCCAAGCACCTGTGATAGCTACATTTTCGGATTCCTACGGACGATATATATCCGACGACGACGTAATTTCTGCTGTTCCGTTCATTGTTCATCATAGTATAAAAAATTAAAAAATCGCCGTGTACCCGGTTCAAACGGCTCAGGCGGCTATGCAATGTAAACAAAAAAAGAATTCTATGCTTTTTCACACTGTAAAACTTCCTTGTCCTATATGTTTGATGAATAAGAAACAACACATAAAATCAATTTTCCGCAGTTAAATATTTTTTTTTGCGGAAATATTGAGCACACTCAGTTAAAGGCATTAAATACAAATTACATGTATGTACATTCGTTAGCTTCTGCGATGATCCCTAATTGTCAGTTGTGTCATTTTAATTTCCACTTTCACCATCACCGGCTTCGGACGACACAGAATCGGTCGAAGAAGAATAATCAACTTTCTTGACTCAAACATACAAAGCCTATTCTTTACAGACAGATCTACGCATAACTCTGATATATCAACATTTCTGTTCCCCTAAATTTGCCATAATTTTAGATAATCAAGCGCACTTTTTTCTATACTTATGTAACTAGATTTTGTCGAGTGTCTGTAATGACGTCACAAAAAGGGGAAGTAACTCTATTGATGAACGTTATTTTAAGGGATATTTGAACAGGTAAATAAAAAAAAACAACGAGGTTTAAAATTAAACGAATATTGTAATTTCTTCTTTTTAACCATTGCTTACAACATATATTATTTACAAGTATATCTATTTCCTTGATATTTGACCTTTAAAAATGAATTGTTTGTCAATTTATTCAATTTCTACTTATTTAATTATTATGTCTCCCCTTCCGAAGGGGAGACATATTGTTTTTGTCGATTTTCTTATTCTTCTTATTCTTATTCTTCTTATTAAGGTCTTCCGTCTCCAACGGAAGACCTTATTGTTTTCGTTCGGTTTCTTTTTCCCTTTTATTATTCCAACCGATTTTGTGCACGCAAGTTCTCAGAAACGACTCGTCCAAATTTTACGAAACTTTCAGATCTGGTAGGTATTGATCTGAACCTTTTTGGAAATTTTTTTGATTGATGACGTCACTTCTTATCTCGAGATATTTCGGATTTTCTGATTTTCAAAGGGTCGGCTTGTCCAGGAAACTCCTCCGAAACGACTTAAGATATCGACTTAAGATTTTCAGTGAAAATAAAGGAAGGTTTGGTGAGTTGTAATTGGGTATCCAAATCTTTCTAGCGCAAAAGGCGCCGGAGCGCGGTAGGGCCTGAAAAAATGTCTCAGAAATATCTCACAAAATTTGACAAATTTTGTTTCATATCTTCATACCTGTTCATAATTTGTTAAAGCATATTGAAGAAAAAATCTTTAAAATCACAAGACCTTTCATTCCATATCAATAAAATGGGGCTGACCCCTCAAACTAGGGGCTCAGAGGGGCAAAAAGTCTTTTATCTATAACTCTCTAATGATCGATATTTTGTTTGATATTACTGAAGCAAAAGTAGTCATCTTAACAGTTTGCAACAATATATGATAAAATTTTGGTCATATGTTACGAAATTAGGGGCCACAAGGGGCCAGAATATCAAATCTTTGACGCTTTATAACTCAAAAAAGGGGGAATATTTTGATAAGCAATATTGAACAAAATATGGTCAGAATATTGTTCTAAACAATATCCATACTTTGAATTTTTGTAAAACGGCCCCATTAAGGACTTGTAGGGGTGGCCCCTAAATATTTCCATTTAGCATATCTCCACAAGGAAAAGAAATCTCTGAATACATACTGAAAAAAAATCTTCAAAATCACAAGACCTTTCATTTGATATCAAGAAAATGGGGCTGGCCCCTCAAATTAGGGGCTCAAAGGGGCCAAAAGTCTTTTATTTATAACTCATTTATGATCAATATTTTGTTATACATTACTGGGGCAAAAGTATTCATCTTAACGATTTGCAACAATATATGATAATATTTTTATCAAATGTTACGTAATTTGGGGTCGCAAGGGACCAAAATGGTATATTTTTTATGCTTAATGTCTCGAAAAGGGGAGTATTTTCATAAACCTTATTAAACAAAAGATGTTCAGAATATCGTGATAAAAACGAGAAACTTTAACGTTAATGGGGGAAAACTCAATGTCATTCTCTTTAAACGAATATCTCAGTCAAAATCACATCTCATCTTATGGAGATATTCAACGGAAGACCTACTCGTTGCTCGCAACGAGATCTCATCTAGTTCTTATTAGGTCTTTCCACCTTTCTGTGGAAAGACCTATTGATTTCCTTCTGTTTCTTTTTTTCCTTTTTCTTATTATTAGGTCTTTCCACCTTTCTGTGGAAAGACCTATTGATTTCCTTCTGTTTCTTTTTTTCCTTTTTCTTATTATTTTTTATTATTTTTCCGCCGTGTGATTTTGAGTTTCAAGATTTATCGTAAAGATTTTCAATTCATAAGAATGTACTCCGTAAAAGATTTTCGCAGTTGACCCTGCATATATAAACTATGACCCCTTTCGGAGTTATTACCCCTTTCGCAAAAAAGCTTGTTATCACTACTCCTCCGAAACCATAAACCGTAGAGAAATGAAACCTTCACTAATGTCTTTGACTAATTTAGTAGACACTTCATTGATTCATTGCGAAAGTATTCATTGACCCCTTCAATAAGTTATTGCCCCTGGAAGTTTTAGAATTTTACAAATAATTAAAAATTTTCAAAACGAAAAGACGTAGAGACATGGGACCAAATGCATAAGATTCATTGACCTTTGGTCTTGAAATTTATGGAAAGGTCAAAGGTCAAGGTCATTCCAAAACTGAGAAATTTAGCTCTTTTTATATCTCTTTTGTCTTTTAACATATATTTAATGTCTATGCATCATTAATATGTACTTTTAAAACTGTTTCAAAGATTTTATTCTTGTCCCCTAACATGAACCCATTTAAAAGTTATTGCCCCTTGTGCGAAAAACCTTGTTATCGCTACTCCTCCGATACTTTAGACCGTAGAGACACCAAACCTTCACTAATGTCTTAAGGGTCTTTAGACCTAACTTCACTGTATAGGCGCAAAAGAATCTGATGACCCCTTGTATGAGTTATTGCCCTTTAACTTCTTTATACTTACTATTAAACCTTGTATCGTGAAAACTATAAATGGTAGAAGCATGGGGCCAACTGCATTGTGACCCATGACCTTTGACCTTGAATATTTTATCAAGGTCAAAGGTCAAGGTCATTGCAAAAATGAGAAATTAAGCTCTTTTTATACATCCTTTGTCTTTTAACATATGCAATCAGTCTTTGCATCATTAATATGTACACTTAAAACTATTTCAAAGATTTCATTCTTGTTCCCCAAGATAGACTCTATTAAAAGTTATTGCCCCTTATACGAAAAACATTTTTATCACTACTACTTCAAAACTGTAGACCGTAGAGGCATGAAACCTTCACTTATGTCTTAAGGGTCTTTAGGCACACCTTCATTGTATAAGTCCTAAAGGATCTAATGACCCCTTATATGAGTTATTGCCCTTTAACTTCTTTATACTTACTATTAACCTTATATCTTGAAAACTATAAATGGTAGAAGCATGGGGTTAATTGCAATGTGTCCCTTGACCTTTGACCTTGAAAATTTTTTCAAGGTCAAAGGTCAAGGTCATTTTAAAAAAAAAATTTTTTTTACATTTTCATTTTTTTTTCAAGCCATTTCCCTTAAAATTAAATTTAGAGTGTAAAATATAAAACTATAAGAAATTTAAAAAGGTGGAAAGACCTCTTATTGTTCTATGAACAATAAGTCTCCTAGTTTTTTATTATTTTTCCGCCGTGTGATTTTGAGTTTCAAGATTTATCGTAAAGATTTTCAATTCATAAGAATGTACTCCGTAAAAGATTTTCGCAGTTGACCCTGCGTATATAAACTACAACCCCTTTCGGAGTTATTACCCCTTTCGCAAAAAAGCTTGTTATCGCTACTCCTCCGAAACCATAAACCGTAGAGAAATGAAACCTTCACTAATGTCTTCGACTAATTTAGTAGACACTTCATTGATTCATTGTGAAAGTATTCATTGACCCCTTCAATAAGTTATTGCCCCTGGAAATTTTAGAATTTTACAAATAATTAAAAATTTTCAAAACAAGAAGACGAAGAGACATGGGACCAAATGCATAAGATTCATTGACCTTTGGTCTTGAAATTTATGGAAAGGTCAAAGGTCAAGGTCATTCCAAAACTGAGAAATTTAGCTCTTTTTATATCTCTTTTGTCTTTTAACATATACTTAATGTCTATGCATCATTAATATGTACTTTTAAAACAGTTTCAAAGATTTTATTCTTGTCCCCTAACATGAACCCATTTAAAAGTTATTGCCCCTTGTGCGAAAAACCTTGTTATCGCTACTCCTCCAAAACTTTAGACCGTAGAGACACCAAACCTTCACTAATGTCTTAAGGGTCTTTAGACCTAACTTCACTGTATAGGTGCAAAAGAATCTGATGACCCCTTGTATGAGTTATTGCCCTTTAACTTCTTTATACTTACTATTAAACCTTGTATCTTGAAAACTATAAATGGTAGAAGCATGGGGCCAACTGCATTGAGACTCATGACCTTTGACCTTGAATATTTTGTCAAGGTCAAAGGTCAAGGTCATTGCAAAAATGAGAAATTAAGCTCTTTTTATATATCCTTTGTCTTTTAACATATGCAATCAGTCTTTGCATCATTAATATGTACACTTAAAACTATTTCAAAGATTTCATTCTTGTTCCCCAAGATAGACTCTATCAAAAGTTATTGCCCCTTATGCGAAAAACATTGTTATCACTACTACTTCAAAACTGTGAACCGTAGAGGCATGAAACCTTCACTTATGTCTTAAGGGTCTTTAGGCACACCTTCATTGTATAAGTACTAAAGGATCTAATGACCCCTTATATGAGTTATTGCCCTTTAACTTCTTTATACTTACTATTAAACCTTATATCTTGAAAACTATAAATGGTAGAAGCATGGGGTTAATTGCAATGTGTCCCTTGACCTTTGACCTTGAAAATTTTTTCATGGTCAAACGTCAAGGTCATTTAAATTTTTTTTTTTTTTTTTTACATTTTCATTTTTTTTTCAAGCCATTCCCCTTAAAATTAAATTTAGAGTGTAAAATATAAAACTATAAGAAATTTAAAAAGGTGGAAAGACCTCTTATTGTTCTGTGAACAATAAGTCTCCTAGTTCTTCTTATTATTATTCTTCTTCATCCAAATTTTGTCCAGGCCGTAACTCAAATACCCGTTGACCTGAAGTCTTCATACTTGGAACATAAATAGATGACCTCAAGACGGAGTGCACGCCACCAAAATTTTTGACCTTGAACTATTTATAAGGTCAAGGTCAAACTTTTACATTCAAATAGAGTTTTGGAAGTAGCTTGAGTACCCTTTGATATTAGGACTTCAAACTTGTAACAAAGAGAGAAGACATTAAGTACAACATGTAATGCACCAGAACTTTGACCTTGACCCCTTTTTTTCTTCAAGGTCAAATAAAAAAAACACAATTTGCACATAACTATAGATACCTTTGACATTTAGACTTCAAACTTGGAATATGCATGGGACACATGAGAGAAGGTGTAAGTGATCAAAATATTTGAACTTAATCCAGTATTATCAGGTCAAGGTCAAACTTTCACATCAAAATAGAGTTTATGTCATAGCTTTAGTAACCTTTGATATTAGGACTTCAAACTTGTAACATAGAAAGAAGACATTAAATACAAGATCTAGTGCACCAGGACTTTGACCTTGACCCCTTTCTTTCCTCAAGGTCAAATAGAGAATAAACATGTTTTGACCATATCTTGAGAACCCATTGACATTTAGACTTCAAACTTGGAACATGCAGAGGACACATAGATGGAGAGTCTATGTGATCAATTTTTTTTACCATGATCTAATTATTATTGGGTCAAAGTCAAACGTTCATATGAAATATATCCTAAGTCATAACTTGAGACCTTTCTTGACATTAGGATTTTAAACTTGGAACAAGTAAAGCCACATTAAGCCTAAATACACTACATCAAATTATTTGACCTTGACCACTTTCTTCTTTCAAGGTTAAATTAAGGAAAAAACAAGACCAGACCATAACTTTAGATCACTTTTAAGACTTGAAAGATGCACTGCATTATTATTTTTGACCTTGATAGAAAAACTGCATTTGTAAATGTTGGTAAAGAAGGGGAGACATGTGTTTTTTGTTAAAAAAAACAATACCCACTAGTTAAATAATATATTTACAAATTATTAGAATAAGATTTTTAGGTGAGAAAAAATGATATAAAACCATGGCTTGTCCATATGCTAATTCATCATTGCGTGTCAAAACACCATACACTCCGAAATTTCTTTTTTCTTCAATAAACATAATTATAAAAATGATATAAAAACAAGGCTTGTCCATATGCTAATTCATCATTACGTGTCAAAACACTATACACTCCGAAATTTCTTTTTTCTCAATAAACATATAAGCTTTCCAGCAAAATATATCCCCGAAGATGCAAATTTGATAAGATAAGACATATGTATTATCTTCCAATCGACTAGAGGATACTCTGTTCACGATTTGTATACACCCGAATGAATGGTTGTACCCGGTGAAATTTAAACTCTTCATGAAATCACCGAAACGTTTCGACAGTACGTGGAATTTTGCAAGACCCAAACGTTTGATCAACATTGATTATCAGCTGTTTGAATGGGAAACATGCAGGTTTTAGACGAAGTGTGAATTTGGTTATAGGATTTTTGTATCCGCTTTTGGCCATTTACCATGTTTTGTTACATCTAGCATTGGATAACACATCCAAGTTGGATAAAAACGGTAAGTTAATCTACCTTTCTCAATACCATGAATTCACTAAATACATGTCTTTGTCACTGACTGGAAACGTGATGGGTTTCCCTTAAACTCATTTGAAAAACAATACATGTACAATACGAACTTCTTTCAATGTCCTTGCTTGACATTTTTTTTCAATACTTGTGCAAGTTATAGTAGAGTTTATTTGAAAGTTATAAAAAAACAGTACCAAGATATTTGAGCCCACCCTGGAAGCGGATCTCTCACACCTGAATTTTTGTGATGTTTGAAATTTTTGACAGTTTTTCAATTTTGTTCAATTTCTTTTTTTCATTGTTTTTACCCTTTGATATAATATATATCTTTTCAGATATTGGAGAAGATCCAACCAGCTATTCTCAAGAAAATGCTGTTTTAGATTTTCTTTTGTCTATTTTTGTAAATTGAAATAAAAATTATGTTGATTTTATTTTTAACTTTGTTGGTTATTATTTCAATATTTTATAACATTTAACTTTGAAGAGAAATTTAAAGCACTGTGTTTTTAAAAATATAGATAGGAGGGGTTTTAACAAAATAAATCAAATATTTTAAATATTTCAAAGAAATAAATTGAAATACTTTGGAACCTTATTTTATCGGATATTCAGCCTATTATTAGAAACAAATGCATGCAACAAAAACAGTTATACTTTATAGGTGTAGAGATCCTCCTAAGTTAAACAGTTTTTTTTTTTTATTTTTAAACAATCCATACATATTCAAATCTCAAATTCAATTATAGAGGCTTAGGTTAAATGAAACAATTCAAGACATCCGAGGTAAAGAACTACCTGCCATAGAAGTCTTCTCTCATGCCATTATGTTCATGAAAAATCACCTTGTGAAAAACCTCGAACAAACAGAAACATTTATCGTAGAAGAAGAAATTTTCTGGGTCTTGACAGTTCCCGCACTTTGGGATGATCCTGCAAAACACTTCTTGAGAACAGCAGCGGAAATGGTGAATATACAGAGGGATTTAACTTTTTTTAAAAACACATTCTAATAAACTCTACAAATTTATTAGTTCTTGTGATGAATTATTTTTCACATGCATTCTAACATAGGCCGCATTAGACGTTTCCAAATTTGCTATTGTTCTGGAACCGGAGGCAGCCTCAATTTGGTGTTTACGTTTACCAGTGGAAAATCTTCATGGCTCTGAAAGAAAGATCAACACTTTTCAAGAAGGAAGCAAATATCTTATTCTTGATGCTGGAGGTAACCTTTTTGTTATCAGTAGTTCAATTTTTCACGTGATCCACAATGATTTTCCTTTTGAAAAGGATTTTCTTGGGTAAAAAGATATGTTTGTGAAACACTGATGCTTCCGTATAGCAGCTTATACAATGGTTGAAAATTCTGATATGCATATTTAACTCCAAGGTCAAAGGGTCTAAGTTATTAGTACCCAATGGTAGATCTTTTCATAAAGAATGTACCTCTGAATTTGAAATATGAAAGCCCTAGTACTACTATTCAAAAGTTATGTTCAACGTTGAAGCGTTTTACAAGGTGGGTCAAACTCGAAGGTCAGGGTCAAAATTGTTGGTATGTAGAGGAATGCCTTGTCACAAGAAGTACACCTGTGAATTATTAAAGCCTTAAAGTACTAAAGGTAAAAAAAAGATTGGTCAAGGTTGAAGGTTTTTTTTTACTAACTCTAATGTCAAGGTCAAAGAGGTCAAAAATATTTATACACATTGAAAGATCTTGTCACAATAAATACACATGTGAAGTATGAAATCCCTAACACCAATGTTCAAAAGTTATGGCCAAATTTAGTGATGTTCAAAGGTCTTCAGACAGGGAATATACTTGAAAATAGCCATAGCCCACAACCCATTCAAAAGTTATGGACAAGATAAAAGAATATTTTTGATATCACAATAAGAAATGGTAGTAAAAAGTCTGGACTATGTCGTGTCCAGAGTTAAATGTCGTACTGTTATAAAAGGTAGTTTTTCATGAAAACTACATATACCATTCCTTTGAAATAGGGGATATTGTCATTCAATAAAAATTAGATTTAGAATTTTATATTTTAGATATTAAAAAATATTTTCAGACATTATACGAGGGTTGTTCAGAGAGTTCGTGGACTAGCGCAATAAAATACAAGAAGCCCATGGGCCACATTGCTCACCTGAGCATTGTGGCAAAAAAAAAGCAAAAAATAACCCAGTCTTAAAAAGCTAAAATGCATGGTCCCAGCCTACCCCTAAAAGACAGAAGGGAGGATGATTTAAATCAACTTGAATCTACAAAGGATGCTTACACATTTCTTTGACTTACTGTGGGTCTTTTCCCTATAGGTTTGGGTTTTTTTTGCCCCGCCCTACTCTCGGGGGTCATTTGAACCAATTTGAATCTACACTACCTAAGGATGCTTCTCTAAAGATATGGCCAATCATGGCTTTGTTGTTCTTGAAAAAGAGATCTTTAAAGATTTTCCCTGTATATTCCTTTGTAAAACTTTGGTCGTCCATTGTGGCTTTACCCTACCCTCGGGGGTCATGATTTGAACAAATTTGAATCTACCCTACCTGAGGATGCTTCTGTATAAATATGATCAATCATGGCTTTGTTGTTTTTGAGAAGAACATTTTTAAAGATTTTTCCTATATATTCCTATGTAAAACTTTGGTCAGCCATTGTGGCCCTACCCTCCCCCCGGGTGTCATGATTTGCACAAACTTGAATCTACACTACCTGAGGATTCTTCCATATAAGCTTCATCTTTACCTATTCAAAGGTTTTAAGATTTTTAAAACATGCCACCAAATTTTCTTTCGATCTTAATTATCTCCCCTTGAATAGGAAAGGTACCCTTCATTTGAAAAAAAAAAATTGAATCCCCTTCACCTAAAGATGCTTTGGGCCCAGTGGTTCTGGCGAAGTCGAAAATGTGAAAAGTTTACAGACGTCCGGACAGACAAACAAATTGTGATCAGAATAGTTCACTTGAGCTTTTAGCAAAATCTCTTCAAGATCAGTGTATGAGTTAGAAAATGCAGACCTCGAGAAACAATGCTGTCATGAATCTAAATGGCGACAGCGCTGAAAAATCATGTGATGTCTTCTTTTACTTGATGATAATTTGATAAATATTCAAGGTATATCAAGGTAAAATTTTCTACATTTCTTTAACTTTTTGTCTGATATTCCTAAAAATTGTAACCATAGACTACAAAGTATTAGTCCACGAACTTATCGAACAGCCCTCGTACATCTATTTGATTAATGAAGTAGTCCATTACTCATCGTCGCTAGCCAAGGATGACGATCCGCTCCTTTCCTCCTTTCACCCTTGGCAGCCAAGAGAGAAAAGTGGAGAGGAGCGGATCGGCATAATTGGCTACTAGGTTGTGAAATAATTTTCTCACTTTGAATTTTTGGCCATTTAGAAGGAATATTATTGCGTACTTAAATTGATGATACGACTCAATTGCAATTTATAGTAAAGCGACTCTTCATTAACAAACGTGTTTAACATAGGTGAAGCAACTAAAATAACTGTACACGAAGTTAAGGCTGAAGGAAAACTAAAAGTATTAGAGAGAGCGAGCGGGGGAGACTTCGGTGGAATAAGCGTCGACAAAGCCTTCAAGAAAATGCTCTGCGACATTCTAGGAGGAGAGAGGGCATTAGAAGGATATATTCATCGTCACACAGTAGACTACTTGGAGTTGCTCTTCGAATTCAAAATCAAGAAACTAAAGAGAACTGACACTAAAGATAGAAAAATAACCCTGAAAATTCCCATAAGTTTTATGGAAACTTTTTCTGATATTCAATCCTTAACAAGTCGGTCCGTCTACAAACAAGTTATAAAATGGGAGCCTGATAAACTGAGAATTGATTCCCAAACCTTTGAAAGTTTCTTTAAACCGGCATGTAATGGAATAATTGAGCATGTCAACGAACTGCTTCGATTACCAAATGTCAGAGGAATTCAATTTATTCTAATGGTCGGTGGCTTCTCCGAGTCTCCTGTTTTACAGGATGTCATGAAAAAGGCATTTCCAACCTTGGAAATTATCGCACCACAAGACGCAGGTCTTGTTGTATTAAAAGGCGCTGTATTGTTTGGTCAGAATCCATCAGTCATAGAATCGAGAATTGACCAGTGGAGTACTACATTTGATCCTTCAAAGCATGACAAATCAAGAAAATTTGAAAAAGAAAAACCCTTAAGACACGAAGATTTATTCAGTAAATACATAAAAGCTGGAGAAATCCACTTAATGAATGTGCCACAAGAGGAACAAATCAATGCTCCAATGAGTGCAAACAAGAAGGCCATTGACGTTCCATTGCACGAATCAAAAACGGTTAATCGAACTTACATTGATGACCCCAGTTGCCTTGAATTTCCAATTCGTGAAAAAATTGGCTGTATAAATCATGATTTTGAGGTCAGTCTTATTTTTGGAATGTTGTTCTAAATCTTGGAATATTTTTGATTTGAAGTTTAACATTCTCTAAGAAAAATGATACGAACAGTAGAATTTAATCTTTTCAAATACTGACCCTTATAATTTGTATATGATTCAAAATTATTTTAATGTATACACCTCTCTTCATTTAAATTTTGCACATATGTGAATTCTATGAATCATTGAAAGTTATGTCTAATCAGGAAGATTATGAAATTAATGTTCATGTGTTAATGAATCTGATGAGCATCTATCTATTCCATGAGCATCTATCATTTTAACACAGTTTTAATAAAAATTCTTAATTTTGCTTAACTCAGTAACAAAATGAAAAATGCATATTAGAAATAAAATGAAATAATAATTAATCAATACATTACACAACAGAAGGTATTAGTTTACATCTTTTACACGAGTTTTATTTTTTTTGAGAAACCTCAGGGCAAGATTTGTATGGAAACCCTATCTTGTTCTTGGCATTTTTTGATAACTCGTGGCATCTTATCTTAGTCTTTGGTGATCTTACAGGCTACCCTGGAGAACAGACCTGATGAAGTTAAAGCTCTTCTTGGACGATTTAAAGAAAGCTACTCTTTCATAAAAATTAAAAGATTGTATTTTGGAATCGACAAGAAAAAAATCCAGAATGTCATCGCTGTAGTCATTGACTGTGACCTCATAAGTGTAGATGATAACTTTGAGGGATACCCTGTGGATTGCAGAAGATGGAAAGATCGACCATATGAAAGTACACATGCACTATACTGTCGACAGGCGGTGACCAATCCTCTTAGAGATGAACAGATAATTTCAAATATTGAGCTTGCGATAGAAAAGCACAGTAGAAGGCTAATGTGTGAGCATTCAAATTTAGAAATAATCAGTGCTTCACCCGTGCAATCAAAGAAAATGGGCGATGAAATAATTGTTAAAGAATGCATTGTTCTGTATTGTTCACACAAAGGAGTAATCCCCTTTGGAGAAGATGTATTTCCAAGCACGTTAGATGGAATAACAGTTGATATCCGAGAAGGTTTCTTTTATTTCAGTCCATTGGATGGTGATAACTTTTTTAAAAGCTCAAAATCTGAACATCAACATTTGCGCATGGGATGCAATATCGGACGAGAAGGTTAATGCTTTCTTATTCGTAAACTTTTTTTGAAACTTTTCAAAAATCAAGTAAGTATATGACTTAAACATTGTTAAAAAGAAAACAATAGTTAAATGCGTGATTTTTTTTTTTATTATGTAGGGCTTACAAAAACTGGCACTCTTGGTGGATTTGTGGACATTGGTAATGAAGAAATAGGTTTCATCACATGTGCACATGTTCTTCATTCTTCGCTTCCATTGAACAATCATCAAATGAAAGAGAAATTTTCTGTTGTTCAACCTGGATTTGGCATTGCATTGGAAAATAACAAATGTGGTGTTCATATCCAATCTGTATGTCCGACACAGACTCAACCTGACATTGCAACAGTAGATGTTGCCCTTGTGAAAATATCCAGAGAACGTCAACCAGAAAGAGGATTATTCGCGGGTCTTTCAGTTGAAGACATAGAAAGTAAAGGTGAGAAGACTATAGTATGACACAAATGTCATCTTTCTCACTCTCACTAACTGCCTTTGCCCCTCTCAATCCATTATAATTCATAATATTGAAAACGTAAACTTCGAAAGAATAGAGGAAAGAGGAAAATTCTCGAGATGACATTAAACAACATACAACCAGTCTTCCTCTCTCTTTCTCTCTCTTTCTCTCTATCTCTCTCCATGCATATAATTGTATCCTTGACTTTGTGTCTATTTTATAGATTTGACACATGGATTTTTTCTACTTCCATTGTTTTAATGACTTCCTAACTTTTTTTCTTTGTCCTAGCGATGGGAGGGGGCTTCCCAAAGATTAAATTCTAAAAGATGTATTTGTCGCATTTTTGACCATTTTATTTTGTATTTCATAGTTTATGCAAGATCTGGCCAATGATTTGATTGAAAAGTAGAGAAATATCTTATTAAAATTGTATCTGCTCCACTTTGACAGACTTTCAAAATCAAGAAAAACATTGGTATTTTAGAAACAAAAATAAAAAAAAAAGATTTTCACTCAGACTTTTTAAACAAATTTGAACATGAAGAAGTTATGTCCTATATAATACAGTGGTGTCTTAAAAAATTCATGTTCTTAAAAAATACAGTACTTGATATTAAGAAGCTAAATTTAATACATCAAAAATAATTAGAGTTATCATAAATTATTTCACAATTGTATTTCTTTTGAGAAGACCTTATTTGGATACCAACATATTTATTTTTGCATTTAAGAAAAGTTTAAATCTCCGCTTTGTTGCTTACGGGGGCATCAGTGTTTCAAAAACACATCTTTTTTCATTGAAACTCGATAAAGGTAGGATTTCAATAAGGCTAATTTTTGGCCCATGATGAATTTCAAATTAATTCCTTTTGTTATGTATAGTAATGTTTCCTCTCTCATATTTTATAATTTATTTGCAAAACCAACCTATACTAGTCACGTGACCAAGGGATATCTAAAGGGTCCCTCTAAAAGCGTCTAAGAGGGTTATGAAGATTTATTACTTGTAGAAGACTATTCATTGTGAAAAACTAAAGAAAGATTAACCATATATCATCAGGGAACATGGAACAGGGCTGAAGTAACACAAAAAGTTAACTAATTTAATATTTTTTTGGAAAAAGAACTTCTGTAATTGTAGCCATAGGAATTCAATGGAAATTGTGTACGTTTTCTTATTAGACATCTTTGCTTCCTAAAATAAAAAGGTATGAAAAACTATTAGTTATAAATAAAGAAAAGCTTTCAATCTTACGATATATCATATAACGAGACAACTCATTAAAAATATAACTGTGCTTGCGACCCATACATATTCTTATAAGTATAAAGTAGAATAAAGACCTCTACGCATTGTAAGTAAGTACATCGATTTAATAGTATTTCGTTTAGATTGACACAAAGGAAGTGTAAAAATCTCTTATCAATACATTTTATTCAATACTAAAAATATTTTTTGCGATAATAAAGAACTGATTCTGTAAGTGTACACTGAACACGGCCATTAAACATAATTTATATGTACTTATTTTATTTCTAGATATTGGATGCAAAATCTGAGATGCGTCTTGTATCAAAATTCATTTTATATACATTCATTTGAAATCCAAAGATATATACTTTGATTCCATGTTTGTACCCATTTTCGTGTGAAACGTATCTAAATTTTTTTAAAATGCTTTTGTAATCGCATATACATGTGCCCCTTTGAACTTGCACAAATCACCTTTGATCAAGGTGTAAAGTATTAATTCTTATGTTCATCCGTAAAAAAGATATGAACAGGACATGTTTGCACAGACAGATGGACGAGGTGATTCCTACACATACCCCCAAACTTTGTTTGTGGCGGGTATAATAATAAGACCACTTGTTATATGGGCAGTAGATTTAGGACAGATCAAGGCACAATCTGCATCATCAACATCTTGTAAAATTCAAATTCACATTAAGTTAAGTTAATAATTAAGTTGAAAGGAGCTGGTTACTAACCAGAAAAAATGCATATTTAATCTGTGAAACGGCAACATACCCAAATCAAGAAACTTTTACCTTGATTTGCATTAAATAATTAATATTGTTTACTGTGAACAATAATTCTAATTGTTGGTTTTTATATATTGAAACTACCGCCTCTAGTGTCAAAGTTTTTGGTTTTCCTCACAAACAGACACACAGGCATGTTATAATATAATCAGTTATTTTTCTTTCATGTTTGATATCATCGTATGATTTTTTATACAGGTATAAAAGGACAACCAAAGTACTAAATAGTAAAACCCCACTCTGATTGACTCTCATGAATCAATCTTACAATAGCATGGCATACCTAAACGAAGAGTGTACTAAAATTTCAAGAATCTGCAATGAGTATTCGCTGAGAAAACCGTGATGGAAATTGGTACATACAGACACACAGATAAACAGAAAATCGACGTTGTACTCATACAAAAATAATTGTCACCTTTTGACCTGCAAAAAACCCCTATCATCTACTATGAGTAGTATCCGAAAATATGCGAAGAAAATTTGTTACAGGCAGACACACAGACAGCTAGACAGAAACACAAGGGTAAAAAAGTATACCCCAGAGCTAGGGTCGAATTCCTAGTAATCTGTTTGATTGACTGGACAATGTTATAAATGTGTATGATTTACTTTAAGTGTTTAAATAAAAAATAACCACAACTCAACAGATTGCAAAATTTGCAAAGTCATTAGTATTTAAGTGTGTGTTGCATTGCGAACCACAATCATAATTCAGTATAATCTTTCTGTACATAAGTAATTAATTATCAAATTATGGTTTTGGTTCAGAATGCAACAAGTGTTGTACTAGAAGGTTAAACATCATAACCCTCCAACATTTTCCCATATACTCAATGTTAAAGTGGTTGAGGGTACCATACTTTGCTCGTTTATTCCAATATTATCCTAACTTTTATCTCGCAAAATAAATACACAGCACAAAATTAGACATGTTGAAAATAATGGCAGTAAATTTAAAATTGTTGGCAATCTAATTTCATTTTTCACAAAAAACATGGGCCAAAACACAGCCTTGTGGAAACCTCTCCTTTATTCCAAAAATGCAAAAAACAGTCGGAAATACAAAATCTGTCATTTAACGAGGCTGGGGGGTGGCAGCCATTTTTAGACTATTTCAATCTCCTTTAAAAGGAGAGCCCCATAAAAAGATATACAAAAATGATCAAATTTTAAAACTAAAATCTTTGAATTTTTTCTTTGTCAAATGATAGTTGACAGCTAAAGATACCGTATCTAAAAAAGTAAGATAAATCTGGTGGTTAATTTGGGATTAATTTGTTGACCCACCAGCCTCCTTAAGCCCGTTCTCCTGTTAAAAATCGTGTGTAATCCAAGAAAAATCATTTAAAAAATACAGCAACAGCCAGACGGACACAGATGAAAGCATAATCTCCTTTCCATTTCAATAAATTCTATAACAGTTATCATACTAGTACTTTAATGTATTAATTTAATGTATTAATTGGTATTTTCAGGATTTAGTAAAGATCATCCACTGGAATATAGAAGTGGGGAGATAAGAGACTTGAGGAGACAATTATCGGGAGAACACAGATTTAAAACCTGTGTTAAAGTTGGATCCTCATCTGGTTTAACAAAAGGAGTGCTACATTTGAAATCCACTAGTGTTAGACTTGAGTCACATACACTCACAGAACAATCCTTGAATTTTGTTATTCACAAGCAACTCGAAATCTGTGCACAAGCGGATCATTTTTTTGCAACGAATGGCGATTCCGGTGCTCTTGTTTTCCAAGTTGAGCCTGGCAGTTCACCGACAGATGATAAGTTGGTTTGCATTGGGATGATAATAGGTGTAAACAGCTATGGATATTGTTTAGTTACTCCAATAAATGACGTTCTTGAACACTTGCCAATTCCAAACAAAAACAAGCTTTATACCTTTAGAGAAGAGACCATGGACCAGTAATGTAGCAAATACCCCCGGTACATTAAATATGACATTTGTGCGCTGAAATGCTTTGTAACTTTCTAGGACAACAAGCATAGGACAAATACTATCAAAACAACCGACAGAATTATTTGGATCTCTTCCTTAAGTTTGAAACTCAAAAACTAAGTTATGCGGAGAGAGATTATGATTTAGTGATAACAATTATTTGAAAGACATTTCTACATCAGTGCAATTTAAAACACAAGATTCAAAGTAACAGTTGTTCTCGGTGGAAAATGAAAAGGTTCTCGCTTCCATCTTCTTGGTTCACCACTGATCCAAAGTTCAATGAAATACAAATCAACACACATTTTATCATGATTTAGCAGTGAATCAATCAAGAATACCTGAAAAGCTTTACTCATATAAAATGTCATGTAAAATGTGATATCACTTTGGAGATGATGCATGTTTATATTTTTATATATTTCAAATTATTGATTATCTGACATAAAGAGATTGTTTATGTTTATATTCTAACAAATTTTATGCTATTATTTATCGTACAGAGATAGTCTATCGATATATTTTAACATATTACATACTATCAATATATCATATAGAGATTTATGTTTATATTTGTACGTATTTTTTGTATTATTTTCGCTCATATGGAGAAATAACTTGTTCATATTTTTACTTATTTCAAAATATTATTTATTATACGAGGATTATATATGTTTATATTTTTACATATTTTACACTATTTATTTTCAAATTGAGACAATCTATGTACTGTATTGAATTAAGTTGTAAATATACACTTAATATCTTTTTTTAGTGTTTTTAAATTTACAACTCTTATACAATATTATACATTGAAGTCAATACAATTTGATGCTTTTTAGAGGGAGAATCACAAATTTGTTTACTTGAATGCCCTTTTGGCCATGTACAGAATTATTTTTTTAGAATTTCAAAATGTTTGAAGGAAAGACTCTATGAAAGTAATGAGTACGAAAGATATTAAATTTTGATACAGAAGTTCAAATAACAATTTATTAGATTACATTCAATTCAACTTATGGAACCGATTATGTACTTTGTTATAACCATTATTGAAGTAATATTGCAAATAAACAAGCATCTATTTAATGTAAAATATAATCATAAAGAACATTTTTACCTTTCATGTTTTTTACATGAAGTTCTCAATTTATCTATACAATATCATTAAACAATATATTATAGGCAGGAGATATTCTAATTTAAATTTGTGATCAAAAGCAAAAGTAATGCTTAAGAGGAAGAGTACACTTGACAGAAGTTTAAGAATTCTTCACATACACTGTATTGATTTTCCAAGAGAGTATTTCCAAAAAAATTTCTCAAGCCATGTATCCAAAAACAGGTTTTTATTTATAGGTGTGTTTTCTTTGTTTTTTCTTTGCCTTGTTTTCTATTCTACTAGATATAAATTTTCAAATGTTTTACTTCACTTTTTTAGAAAACATAGAATTTTAAATAAATATTAAAGCATATTAAGAGCCACAGAAACTTCAAAGTAGCTGGAAAGGTAGTCATTGAATGGTAGGTTTAACATTCGATAGAATAGAAATCAATAATTTTCTAAAGAATGGTTTTAAACTACCAAAGGCCAAAAGTGATATGAAATCTTAACAGCAAAGACTGGAATTTTAGTGTAACATCAGTAGGAGTAAATTTTTAGAGTTGAATATTTTAGTACTAGTATCCGAAAACAATGAACAAAAGCTCAAAAAAAAAAAAAGAAGTGACATCCCCACACTGTATAGCCCTAATGATCACGTCGCCCAGATATAAATATTACCACAAAAGTTAAGAATTATCGATAGTAATGTTTTTGACATGATTAATACTGTTCTAAGACCAAAAAGTCCGTAATTGTTAAAGCAGTGCGTCTTATTTATTGATTTATAAATTTATAGCGCATTCGACTTTTATTGTAGCATTAGTAAAGATTTTAAATAATCTAATTGCTTCTATACGAACATCTTTGATGAAGAAAAAAAATTGTGCGTCTTGAGTATTATGCAGATGTGTTCAACGTTCCATTGGTCATAAGAAATAAAGTCAAATGACAATATTACCTATGAAGAAGATAGAGAAATAAAACGTTAGTGCTTCTAATTGACTTATTTTTGGCATTAGATTTAATTAAAGCGTGGTTCAATACAGGTGGAGAACTTTGTTAAGTGTGTATAGAGATGTTAAAACCTCATATGCAATCTCTATCCAGAGTTATCGTTCGCTTTTTGTTTTCACTTCCGTAGATACATGTATAAAGATAGTTTGCGAATTTGTTTGACAAATGACGAGACGGTATAGCTGCAGAATTTCATTTTCTGCATTTGAGTTTACTGTCAAGTATTTGATAGGCTGATTGTGATTTATAAATTTGTTTTTAGTAATATAGTGGACCGTGTGTTGTGCATTTTATGGAAAATGAAAAACTGCATAATTTGTAATAAAAGAAATACGGAAGTTTTGCAAGTTTGTGCGATAAAGTCTTTAGATACATTTGACTATGGCTAGATATTTAGTTATAAGGGTAATTATGGGTAGCTAAAAAATGTTTAATGAAAAAATCTTTGCCTTTTCATAATGTTGTTTTGTTTTAAATGGATTTTAAGAAATCTTCACCATCACAACAGATATTTTCTAAAAAAAAAAAAAAATCGTCTGCAAATAGGATCCTCTCAGTTTGTTGAAATTTTGACGTCCATGTTGAATTTACTACACTACACCCAATTTCACTTGATTATCAGGTGTAAATCGTCTATATACCGGGTGTAGTAAGGTGTAGACAAATCAAGCGCGCCCTATAAGAGAGACGTGTACAAATATCAACTATAGGGTTGTTTTTACATCAAGGGCTCCTAATTCAATTTGTGGTAATACCATGCACTCAAGACTTAGCTTTCTTATTTCATGAAGCCATGATCACCATGACCAACTTATTTCAAATTATATACATGTACGTAATTGACATTAGGGGCAATAAATAATTTACGACAGACCTTTCGTATTTGGATATTTAAATGTTATTCTATATTCAAAAGCAACGAAGCAGAAGAAAAGGAAGTTTAACCCTCAACGTGGCTCGCGTACACAACGATCGTTAAAGATCAACACTTCGAATTCTGCACCTTATAAACCTGAATGTCACAAAGTAAAGGTAAATAGGAATGCTATTCTTTTGTATATGTCATGTCAATCATTATGGCACCGTAGAATGAGAAAGAATTTATCTACATACAATTATTTTGGATATAATTATGTACTGTCAGTTTACATTCTGCCAGGCTTAATATGCATGTACGTTTTCGAGGAGATACCATTTGTATTCAAAGGACAAGTGCACTTAAGCAATGCTTAATAGGCCCTTTTAAATTTTTATGTGCCATTTTACTATAGAATATATTTATTTACCAAATCTTTCTCTTTTGGTAATAGTCAGTTAAGAGTGGATATTTTTAATTAAAAAGCATGTTAAGCATCACCTAAATCAGCATGGATTTGAAACAATTGAATATTTTTATATGCCTATGAATACCCCAAATCTGGAAAAACCGAACCGAACCTTCTTTTAGTTTTGTTTATTTATTTCAAGGCGAAGAGATATTTAAATCGACACTTGAACAATCTGATGGTTGATCATAGTCGGCGCGATTGTTGAATGTTATTTTTTTGTTCGAAATCTGTTTTTTTGTAAATGAATAAAGTTGTGTAGTTGCCTGTAGCCATAATGATTAAACTAAGAAATTGGTACTCTTGCATTTGAAAAAAAAATACAATAATAGTTTCATTGAATTTGAAATTAAAAAGGAATATTTAGGTGGTTTTCAATACATGTTTTATTTTTTTGCATGAATGTTTTAAAAAATGTTTGACACTTTTGTGAATGGCACTTAACTCTCTTTACACCCCCCCCCCCCCGTTTCTTAAAAACAAATACATACATTTATAAATTTCTAATCGGCATGACGTTGACTAAATGATACCAAACCTTACAGTGAGCACCTTTGAGGAATGTTAACCAGGGTAAAACTCACGTGACTATATTATGTCGACAAAATAGAGTAAGAATGATTGGCAGTTTTTGTCATGACTTTATTGATTAATAGACAAATCAATCATCAATACAATAAATAGTCAAATCAATCATCAATACAATGAATACAATGATGTACACAAGGTATCTCTACAATGATGTACATAAAGTATCAATTCAATGATGTACACAAAGTCTATATTGAATGATTAATACACAAAGGGTACAATGATATTCAATGATAAACAATGATATTCAATCAATGATTTACGCAAAGTGTATACATGTATTTACACAATGATTACAATGATATTCAATAATATGCAATGATATGCAATAATATGCAATGGTATTCAATGATATTAAATGATAAATGAATTGCAATGAGCAGGTAGCAATGTATTACAAAGACAATGGTCTACGTCGACTTTATCAATAGTATATGACGTAGAATCAATAGCAATGGCACGATGACGGAATCTCAATTATTGCCCATTGGCCTGGAAGATAACAGGATCAGCAGCGAGCTTCTAGCAGAATTCGATTCAGCATTAAAAACAGCCTGTAAGAAGACCATATATCCTGCAATTCAATGAGACCTAAGAAAAGCCATGACGCTAACGGGTTCTTCTTTTGGTAGCCAAGGGAACGGATGTTACGGATTCTACCGCTGGTAGCCAAGGGAACGGAAGAAAAGGATTCTGCTTGTGGTCAAGGAAATGAATGTAATGGATTCTTCTGCTGGAGGCCAAGGATATGGATGTAATGGTTTCTTCTGCTGGTAGCCAAGGGAATGGATGTTGACGGAAAAAGGAAATAAAAAACAGCAGCAACATTTTGTTGACAGAAAAGAACAATTCATCAAAATCTTGTAAATTGGGAGAGGTGGGTGAGATGCTGAGCTTCAATGGATGACGGATGATGGAAAGGAAGAGCAAATGCACATGGATGTGGCTAAATGTAGTCAGTGCATTTGAGTGAGAGTTATCTTTCCAGATGCCTGTTCAGCAGAGCGAACGTTCGCGAGCGCTCGCCAGAATTCCTTATACCTCCAATAGTAATTTTGACGAGCGCTCGCGAACGCTCACTCTGCTGAACAGGCCTCTGGATTTTTTATCTCTATTTGTCTCCATAACTGGACTTAACTCATATTGAGTTAAGTCGGATTATTTTAAATAATTTATTCCACGCATGGGTTCAACATGGGTCACACAGGTAAATAGCTCTCACTTGCTATATATAGGAAAAACATTGTACCTTTTGTACATTTTTGATATTTTAAGTACCAGCCTAATCGTGTACAAATTTCCTACTTTAAATAACGTTTAATATGATTTCATTCGTTTAAGGAACGAATTAGATAGAAAACAATTTCTACTTGGTGTGATAATGAATTACTTTTTTGGAATTACAAGGTCATTCGAATACCTGGTGAATATCACATGGTTCTTTAGAACCGGTCTCGTTAGCAAGGCTATATAAGAGGTGATTAGTGGTTTAAATGC